GTGGCAGCCAGTCGATGTGTCTCTCTCACGTCGATGTTTCTCTCTCTCTCTTCTTCCCTCTCTCCCTCCCACTCTATCTGAAGATGAATGCAAAAATGTCCTCGGATGAGGATAAAAATAAAATAAAAAAAAGATGTCCTCTCAAATTAAAATTGGGACAACCATTTTCCCCAAAGCAGTCCCATCATATTTTAATAATCTAATAATGAATTTAAGAGAAAATCAATAGTTACAAAATTTTACTAGGCTTTATATTTATCATTTCATTACTCTGCACATTAAAGCTAGCCAAAGACAGTTAACATGGAAAGACTTTACTTTAAATAAAATCAAACTGTCTGAAAGTTTTATCTCTTTAACTAGGATATGCAAAAGATTTTACTTTGAGAACCAGGAGTGCAGATTGTTCTAAAACATCCAGAGCACAGTCACCGGGGTCTCAGAATGCACTTCTCCAGAGACACAATATAAAGCAGAGCTGTACAAGAGAAACACAGTGCAAGCCACATCTGTAATTTTAAATTTTCTAGTAGCTTCAAAATCCTAAAGAGAACACAGTTTCCCCTGCATGTTCACCCTGGGCACCAACTCCAGGTGTGCATCTCGGTGCCCCAGCAGCGAGGACCTGTGAACTCAAGGGAGGACATAGCATCTGCTACACAGAGCAGGTGGGCAGTGCTGTGATGTAAGCAGTCTCAGGAAACCCAGGGTGGAGTGAAGCAGGCATCAGGGAGAGCTGGGAGGGCCTGGCCACCAGCAGCCAGGACAGCCTGCCAGCGAACAGCCAGGGCCTTGGGCCCAGGGCCGCAGGGCCGCAGCCAGGCCTGGTTCAAAAGGGAGAAAGAATAAGGCGGAACCAAATGTAATCTACATCCTTCTCTCTACCACCTCAGCTTGCAGTCTGGTCGCAACAGTGGTGTCACTGCTGTTCACCCAACTGATCCTTCCCAGCAGATGCCAACCTGCTGCTCCCCACATGCACGCACTGCCCGGCCTCCCTGCCTGGCTCACGCTGCTCCTGATATCCTTTCCTGCAGAGGAAGTCAATTCACTCACGCTTCCACACTCAGATCAAACACACTTCCTTCCCCAATGATTCTAGTTAGATTTTTTCTACACACACACACTGTTCAAATCTTTATTCTATAATTATGATCAATAAATTCAAGTAACTAAAAATGAAAAACAAAAACAAAAGCTCCTATTTTCTGAGCACTTAGTATATGCCCAGCAATTTACATTCATCATTTTACTAACAGTCAGAGTAGTCTATGGGCCAGGCAGTATTATCACCACTTTATAGATGTCTAAGCTGAGGCTTAAGGAGGCTAGGTAACTTTCCAAGGTGAAACACAAGTGGCAGAATGAGCGTCTGAAGGCAGGTCCGCCTGGCTCTACGGCAGCAAAGGCAGGGATCGAGGTGACTCACCTCTGTTTCCCAGGGCACAGCCCAGCTCTTTGTACTTAATAGGTGCTTGATATGTTTTTGTTGAATGAGTGATCCTTACCCAAAAAACAATCTCCTTGCCTGCCTCCCTGGTCATGTGACAGCACTGTGTACCTCCCATGGCAACAAGTTACAGACAACACCCTGCAGTGAGGGCTCCTTTCATAAACACCGCACCATCAGCATTACACATCAGTGGCTGTGGTCCAGCTGCCAAACTCAGTAAAGTTTTCATTTTCTTTCATAAAAATTCTAAGAGAAAGTGTTTTTGAAAAACAGGCTGGTAATTCTATCTCACAAAGAATGAAGTAAGTGCAAAAATATTCTCTTTTCTACTTAAAAGATGTTATCACTGAGCATGATCACTGCCTGCTGACGACTGAAAGGCCAATGTCCATTCAATAGCTCCTGACCTACTAAGAGCATGTGAAGATAGTGGCTCCTTTCACCGTGGCTGCAGCTGTCTGTTCCCAAGCCAGGGTGGTTTTGCCTCGGATGGCGCTCCTCTGCTCAGGCAGGCGCGCTCTGGCTCACTGGGCTGGCCCAACCCAACTGTTCCTGACACGGAGTCTCCGCAAACCCTGAGCCGAGAGCCCAGACCTCAGAGCCAGTGACCCTGTCAAGGCCCTGGTCCTTGCTGCAGGAAAGCTTCTGAAGCTGACCAGGGCCTCAAGGTGCTGAGCATGAAACTGCCCAAGGAGATAAATGCGACCTCTCGCTCCTGGACACACTGGCAGGACCCCTGGATCAAAGGCCTTTACTTTGACATGAGACTGGCCATTCCAAGCACTGACAAATTTCCCAGGAAAATCTGGGAATTTCTTGCCTTCTCCTTTATAGAGGTAACACCAAGAACAGCACCTTAAAAAATAGTAGGTAATTATTAATGTCTTTAAAATTGTGGTAAAATGCATAACATAAAATTATCTTAACCATTTCTAAGTGCAGAGCTCAGGGCATTATGTAAACTTGCACTGTTGTGCAACTGTCATCACCACCATCCAACAAACACAACTCTTTTCATCTTCCCAAACTAAACTCCATACCCATTAAATACCAACTCCCCATTCCCTCTCTCCTAGCCCTTGGCAGCCATCCTTCCACTTTCTGTCTCTGTGAGTCTGACTATAGAAGTGGAATCACACAGTATTTGTCTTTCTGGACTTGGCTTATTTCACTTGGCACATTAGAATAATATCCCATGATGATATAACCAATTTTGTTCATTATTCATCCACTGATGGACACTTGGGTTGCTTCTACCTCTTGGCTATTGTGAATAATACTGCTATGAACATGCACGCACAAACATCTCTTCAAGTTCCTGCTTTCAATTCTATGTACTGAGAAGTGAAATTGCTGGATCATATGGTAATTCTATTTTAATTTTTTGAGAACTATGTTTTTTAATTTTTATTATTGATCAGTGTTCCAATGGATGACGGACCTAACTGAAAAAGGCCATTAGCTCTGCCCTGCCAATGAAAGCTGTGGGTGGAGACAAGAGGGCTTTCAGTCTTCAGGAGTAAACATTCCCCTAGGGCTGAGGAGAGTCACATAAAATGCGTTTCAACCATAAAAATCCAAGAAGAAAACATAAGCAGTAAAATCTCAGACATTTCTTGCAGCAATCTTTATTCTGATACATCACTTCAGGCAAGAAAAACAAAAAAGAAACGGGACTATATCAAACTAAAAACTTTTTGCACAGTAAAAGAAATCATCAACAAAATGAAAAGACATCCCACTGAATGGAAGATATTATCTGCCAATGATCTGATAAGGGGTTAACATCCAAATTTATAAAGAACTCATACAATTTAACACCAAATAAACAGACAATCCAATTAAAAAATGGGCAAAGGACTGAATAGACACTTCTCCAAAGAGGACACACAGCTGGCCAATAAACATATGAAAAGATGCTCAGCGTCACTAATCATCAGAGAAATGCAAATTAAAACCACAATGAGATATTACCTCACATTTGTCAGAATGGCTGTCATCAATAAATCAACACACAAGTATTGGCGAGAAAGTGGAGAAAAGGGAACCCTCGTGTAGTCTTGGTGGGAATATAGATTAGTGCAGCCACTATGGAAAACAGTATGGAGGGGACCTCAAAAAATTAAAAATGGAACTGCCTTATGACCCAGCAATATATGCGAAGAAACCCAAATACTAATTCAGAAGAATATATGCACCCCTATGTTCATTTGCAGCATTATTTACAATGGCCAAGATTTAGAAGCAGTCCAAGTGCCCAAAAATAGATGAAAGGATAAAAAAGCAGTGGTACATATATACAGTGGAATATTACTCAGATGTAAAAGAAAAGAAGAAACCTTACCTTTTGCGACAGGATGGATGGACCTGGAGAGTATTATGCTAAGTGAAATAAGCCAGTCAGAGAAAGACAAATACCACATGATTTCACTTACATGTGGAATCTAATGAACAAAATAAACAAACAAAACAGAAACAGACCCACAGATAAAGAACAGACTGACAGTTGTCAAAGGGTTCTCATGCCTCTGAAAAATAATGTATCAGGCTACATGGTCATCATCACATCTGCTCCCCTTAACTAGGAGACCCACAGGACAATGACCACATCTTCTCTCTGTGTCTCGTGAGAACAGCATGCTGACTTTCTACACCACAGCAAGCGTTCAGTAAGTAAGGCCTCCCCATGAGGGGAGGGAATGTGAGGGTGACACAGGAAGTTCGATTCCAGCTTTTTTTCCTTGGAAAGAGAGCTCTGTGAAGTCCTAGCTTCTTTGAAGGAAGGTTAAAATACTAATTTTAGACTTTGTTAAATTAAATGTGCATTTGTAACTTCTGGTGTAACCATACACAGAAATAAGAAACAGTATCTAAAATCCAAACTAGTAGATGGAAAATCTGAAGCAAAAACAAAAAACAAAATCAAGAATCCAAAAGAGAACAAGAGAAAAAGCAAAAAGAAAACTGAAATAGGTAGAAAAAATAATGCAAAATACATACATAAAATTCCAAATCTGTCATAGATACAATAAATGTAAATGGACTATATGTTCCATGTTAAATGACCAAAACTGACAGGTTAAAGAATTGTAACAATAAGCTATCTACAAGAGATGTAAACCAGAGAAAAGAGTTGTTGTAAATAAACCAGGCAAATTCTAACCAAAAGAAAGCTGGTGTAACTATACTGATATCAGTAAAAACAGATTTTACCCTTAGTAATGCTTTTAATCTGAAAGAGGTTCAAATTACAGGAAGTTAAATCAATTCTAAATTTGTATCCCTGGCACAATAGGTTATGAATATGTTCAAAGCAAAATGAACTAGAATTATAACAAAAAATAAAGACAATCAGAGAGCCTAGCATAGGGATGGAATGCAAAACAACACTGATACTAGTCTCAAAGGTAATTAATGAATACTTCATCAAGTTCTTAAAATGGGGAACAGAAGTGAAGGCAGTCCCTCATCCAGTATTTCTATTTGTCAAAAACTCTTGGGGATAACCTTTTGAATGCTTAACTTTAAATTTCTACTAAAAACTTACCAGGTCACAGAACTCAAACACCAGAAGATAAGGAATTGCTTCTACACACTGTCCAACACACTGAAGAATATTTGGATGCTGAAGAATACTGTGAAGAAAAGTCACAGCACTGTTCATCAGAGAGCATACTAGTGAAATTGTTCAAACAGTAATCCAAATTTTAACATTCATCATGATATGCTGAAAAGAGCACGTTAACTCAATAGATTGACTGTTACCTAATGATTATATAATCCAAAGCCAATCAGGTGAACGTTTTCAAAAATCAAAACAGGACTCCTGTCAGAAGAACCTCTAACTTTAGTATCTTAAATTTATAGATTACCACTCTGAAGCAGCATTTTTAAAAAGGTGAGGCAAATATACAAACTTAATAAGCAATTCAATCCATATAGTAAATAGCCCAGTTACTCCTTAGGTTATCTAGCTTACATACTAGTTCTATAAATTTTCACAGTATGTACAAATTCTTTTTGGAAAATATTTTGTCCAAGAGAAAGTTTATATATTAAAAAAAAAAAAAAGATATGCCAAAATTGTTTTTTAAAAAGCTTATTTTGAAGCAATTATGAATTAATAAGTGCAAAAATAGTATAAAGAGGCCCCACGTTCCCTTCCTGCAGTTTCCCCAGGTTATGTCTGACAACTATAGTGCAATACCAAAACCAGGCTACTGATGCTAACATCCGTGTGTGTACATGTCTGTGCTGATATCTATCACATGCATAGATTCAAACCACCACCACCTCAACAGAATTATAGATGTGTTCCATAACCACACGATCTCCCCAGGCTGCCCCAAGTCAGTACCAACCACCTCGCCCTGGCAACCACTAATCTGTTTTCCATTTCTATAATGTTCTCCTTTTGAGAATATTGTGTAAATGGAATCACACAGTATGTGACCTATTAAGATTGATTTTTTCATCATAATGAAAAAAATAATGCCCTCAAGATTTTCCAAGTTGTTGCCTGTATCAACAGTTCATTCCTTTTTATTGCTGAGAAGTATTCCCTGGTATAGACATATCGGTTTGCTTAACCATTCACCTACAACGGGACATTTTCATTTTCAGTCTTATGATATAAGACTCTGGATCTTATATTTAAATTGTGCATTCTGCAAGGAGAAATTTCCAAGTTTGGTTTTTTGGCGGCTTAATAAATATTTGGGTTTTATTCAGAGGCAAACTGATTTGGTAGATTAGATCTTCTTCTTCTTTTTTTTTTTTTTTTTCCCATTTTTTGCACAGATAGAGCGGGAGGGAGAGAGCTGAAGAGAGAGAGAGAGGGAAACATCGATGCGAAAGGGACACATTGAGTGGCTGCCACCCGCACGACCAACCAGGGCTGGGGACAAACTGCAACCGAGGTACGTGCCCTTAGCGGGAACCGAACCCGGGTCTCTCCGGACCGCAGGCAGACGCTCTAACCACTGAGCCAAACCGGCCAGGGCTAGATCTTCTTAAATCTAACAATGCTGTAATTTTAAGTGGTGTATTTAAAATATTGGTCCTGCCCTGGCCAGTTTGGCTTAGCGGTTAGAGCGTCGGCCTGTGGTCCAGAGAGACCCAGGTTCGGTTCCCACTAAGGCATGTATCACGGTTGCAGTTGTCCCCGGCCCTGGTTGGATCATGCAGGTGGCAGCCACTCGATGAGTACCTTTCACGTCGATGTTTCTCTCTCTCTTCCTCTCCCTCCATCCCACTCTATCTGAACAAAAAATGGAAAAATGTCCTCGGGTGAGGATAAAAAATAAATTTAAAAAAATAAAATAAAATATTGGTCCTTACAATCTGTCCATACAGAGATCAAGAGAAAAATGTCCTAAATGAATCCATTTTCATTACTATCCACGACAGGTGCACAAAATGACATGCAGTGAAATGAGCAGGACCAGCAGACGCACCTGTGACATCAGTGTCAGGTCTCTTTTGAGGTCCCCTGTATCTTGCTGACATATCTCAAGCTTTCATTCTCCCTCAGGATCACAAAATCAATTTGTTGCCAAGAAGCTTGACAATCGTGTTCTACTTTTTAACGTCTGGGGTTACAATGCCATCATTTTCCTGACCAGGAACGCTCATGTTCTAGAGCTCCCTTGTGATGTGTTTGTTTCTTTAAGTATAGTTGATATACAATATTATATTAGTTTCAGGTGTACAATAGAGTGATTTGACATTTATATACTTTACAATGTAATTCCAAAGTATTTTTAAACACGTGATTTTCAGAGACCACAGACTGTTTACAGAATATATATTAAGGGTTACTTACTAATAAGGTTCTCCATTTTTCAAAAAAGTATCTTGTTCCTTTGGGCTTGCACTTGCTTTTAACTCCTTCACTATTACTCTTGCTACACTAGTGCCTGTGTAAATCTCTCCAAGGAGGACCTAAAACCAAAGAACAGTTTTTCATTTCACTTCCAACAAAATGGTAGAGAAATGTGTCTCATTTATTAGAAAATGGAATATAGGAAAATAAGCAACAAGCAGATGGCCTTCTATTATTTTAAATACTGCCTCACAAAAAGCTTGGAAAAATAAAATACTACCTTCAGTTTTAAACCATTAATCAGTATTTACAACATATATTTATATGTATCTCTTTTCTGTTTACTTAAAAATGTACTATACTTTCATGGAAATTACTAATGGCATTACAGAAGAGCAATTTATAAGTTCAGTACAAGCATAACTTAAATATTTCTCAAAAACACTTCAACTGAGTTTTGTTATTTTATCTCCTTCACACCTGAGAAAGTAAACTGACAAATAGCCAAAGTACAAACTATCATTGCATTATAATGCCAAAAATCCATGGCATTCCAATTATTCCAAGGCTTTATCTTGTACAAAACCTTAGTCAAAACTCGGGGGAAAAAATATCACACTGAAATAAACAGAATACAAAACAAAAATGAAAAGAACAAGTTACAAGTGAACTATTAAACATAATACAGGTAGCCCGGCCAGTGTGGCTCAGTGAATTAAGCGTCATCCCATGGACTGAGAGGTCCGGGTTCGATTCCCAGTCAGGCACAAGCCCAGGTTTCAGGCTTGATTCCCCAGTGGGGGGCGTGCAGGAGGCAGCCGATCAATGTTTCTCTCTCACATTGATGTTTCTATCTTTCTCCCCCTTCCTCTCTCTCTTAAAAACATTATTTTTAAAAAATCTTTAAAAACTAAAAAAATAAACATAATATAGGTAATGCAAAGGCATTCCAAAATACAATACCTAAAATAAAAATAATGATGAAGTTTTTATTTAATTCAAGAATGACCAAAACTAAAAGCTTCCTTTTAAAATCGTTTTTTAAATCTTTTTATAAAATAGATTCATTTTAATGCCCTGGAAATAGAGTATAAAGTAAAACAGAATTTAATGTGTTTATTAGGAATATAAGAGCAGAATGAACAGAACAAGAAATTCTGATAATTAAGTCATATTTTTTGTTTCAAAGAGCCAACTTGTGCCAATATAATATAGGCTTAACACTCATAAGATATCAAGTTTTTAAAAAGGAGAAGAATCGTGTGCTGTTGCAATAACCTGGCTCACTGTTTCTCTCCCCACCACCAGTTACCACTCTCAGTGTTCAACAGGTGCAGGGACAAGCCCTTCAATACCTCTCAGTTCTTTGACCTCACTTCCAATCATCGTTTCTCTACAATCCCATCTCAGCAAACACTCCCGAGTCTATACCTAGCTAACTAATTACAGTATGTCCCAAACCTTGAATTTTAACTTCTTCTCTACCAGCCCTTTGATTTCCAGCTCACTTCAACAGTCTTATCCAGTAAGGGTACAACTCATCCTCTGAACCCCTTAATGCCATCACTTGTCTACCATCCGGATGGGTCCCAAACAGTTCCTACTCCATTTCTCTGCTCTTTTATAGTACATCTCAATAGACTTGTCTAAACGTGCTGTCTCTCCACTTTCTCCCTCGCATCCCCTCCACGCGAGGACGTGCCCCCCGAATGCCTCTCTTGCGGATATCACAGAGCTCGTGGTGCTTGGATATCAGTCTTCATCTCACTCAATGTGTCGGCAGCATTTACCATACTTACTCTTCTTGGACCCCTCCTTCACTGACTGCATCTCTTCCTACTCACTGGTAGATTCTTCTCCGGTTCCCTCACTGGTTCTCCCTGTCTGTGTGTGGAGCCTCCGGGCTTAAATATTTCTCAAAGTGGTTCCGCCAGCCCCTTTTCTATGTTCAGCTTCTCCATGATTTCCTCTAGTTTCATACTTTAAATACCATCCATGAGTCTCTCCCAAATTCCTCTCTCCTCTGGTCTGGAACCTCTCTCTTGAACTCCAGATTTGCTTCTCCAACTGCCTACTTGATATCGCTACCTACATGTCTAAGAGGTCTCACACCTAACACATCCAAAGGCAACTCCTGACTCCCTCCTCTATGCCTGCTTCTCCTCAGTCGCTGCCATTTCAAATTGACCTCAACTACATCCTTCCCTTCAATCAGGCTATAAGTAGTCATCCTTGACTCCCCTCTTTCTCCGGATCCGTATCTGCTCCATCCTAAATCCTATTTATGCTTATTTGGAAAATCTGTCCTGGGTCACACCACTTCTCTTCCCTCCATGCTTCTCACCTATCATCCAGGTCCAAGACTCTGCATCTCTCTATGTGGCTGCTGCAGCCTCCTAACACCTCCCTGCTTTCCCCTGGCCCTCTCCCACATCACTGCCAGAGTGATCCTTTTAAAAAGTGAGCCGCCCAGCCAGTGTGGCTCAGTGGCTGAGTGTCGACCCATGCACCAAGAGGTCGCCAGTTCGATTCCTGGTCAGGACACATGCCCAGGTGGGGGGTATGCTGGAGGCAGTCAATCAATGTTCTCTCTCATCAATGTTTCTGTCTCTCTCCCCCCTCTCCCTTCCTCTCTCTAAAAATCAATAAAGAAAAAAAAATTAGCCCTAGCCGGTTTTTCTCAGCGGTTAGAGCGTCAGCCTGCGGTCCAGAGAGACCCAGGTTCTGTTCCCGCTAAGGGCATGTACCTCAGTTACAGTTTGTCCCCGGCCCTGGCTGGGTCGTGCAGGTGGCAGCTACTTGATGTGTCCTTTTCATGTCAATGTTTTTCTCTCTCTCTCTCCCTCCCACTCTATCTGAACAAAAAATGGGAAAATTTCCTCGGGTGAAGATTAAAAAAATAAAATTAAAAAAAAAAAACGGTGAGCCAGATTATGTCACTCACCCTTGAGACTGGAGTACTTTCCAATCTCACTATGAGTAAAAGTCCATCTCTAAATGCACACCTATCTCACATCACCTGGCTCCCTACACCCCCGCCCGTCTCCTATTACTGACTGTTTACTGTCTGGTCCCCCACACCACAACATTCAGCTGTTAGAACGAGGCTTCTATTCTGTTTGCTGCTACATCCCCAGCACTCCACAGGCCAGGACTTCCCCCACCTTCCTCTGCATCGTACCCTCGGCATTAAGAACAATGTGTGAAACAGAAAAACTTTTGCTAAATGGCTTAGAAGATCTGGTAACTGACAAAATTTGGATGACGTGAAAAATACAGGACTGACAGACAATTCAGAATGAAAAGAAAGAAGCATAAGATGGCTGACTACAGAGCAAATACATCTTCTCATCTTGACCACCCTGCTTATGATGCAATCACTATTCAATTAGGAACCTTTTACAGAGCATGACTGCTACATCATGGAAACAGTGTTATAATAAAATTACTCCTTCTGAACACTGTGGTATAAAAATCACCAAAGGCTGTTTCTAGAGGTCACCACACAGGCTGTGAGAAACGAGAACAGTTCTTTGCAATGGTCCCCATTACAATAATACTTTGCATCTACAGTTATAAAATGATTAAATGTCATAAGGAGAAGGGGAGAAGAAAAAAAAATAATTTAACTGAGAAGGATAAAAAGCTTCTAAAATGCCTATATGTTTTCCCTTCTTACTCTTCTTATGCCAACAATGAGAAAAGTCTCTGATATAACCTAAAAGACCCTCTTTTACCCAGGAACAAGTTATTACCCGGGAATGCTGAAGCTCACATTCCCATGAGGTTTCAGAGGATAATGGGAAAACTCAATTGGGACTATAATGTCTACAGACAATGTGGAACGTCACACAATATAATTCTTAATTAGCTTTAAATTCTAAACAGTATAAGTAGGAGGAAAAAAACAGAAGTGAACAATACTTTACCTTTCCAAACCACCCATTTCCAATTTCCTGTATATAGCTCAGACTGTGGCGGGCAACTTGAGACTTCAAACCTTCTGCAGGAAAAAATAAAGAGCATTAAACATCTCTTTCAAACTAACAATGCTAAAGCAGTTCCAAGTTTTAAAATTGACAATATTTTTGAATGAGTATCTCACACTGATTCTTTAATACCTTGCACTGTTTTTTCCTGACCCAACTACTCTAGTATAACCTCTAGTCACCATTCCACTGGCCTTTAGTTAGTCCTGTTTTATGGTACAGGAGGGAACCATAGGGACTCCCCCCCCGCCCCCTCTATCTTAGGATGAAAAGTCCATCTGATTAGCAAATCCAAATATAGCCCTCCTCCCAAACACCGGAAATCCCAGAAGATGGCAACATCTCTTCAACAAGACAAGCAGTGCAGAGAACTAGCAGAGAAGCTTGCCTACTGAAACAGAGGCAGGAGCCCTGTCCAAGAGTTCCATCTGAATGAAGTGAGGAGGCCAGCTTATTCTTGTAACAGATCCAGGGTCCAAAACGAAAGAATCAGCTTTTGCAGGAATGCAATGGGCCTGACCACTCAGCCTCAGCAGGGAGCAGAAGGAAGAGAAATAAGCCCACAGGGTCAGCCCAATTATTTTACAATTCACAGCAAGGCTCCCAGGCTCACCCTCAGATATAACTCAGGAAAACATGACTTCGGGACAGAAGGTCTTACCTACAGAAGGCTGGAATTGGGATGGAGCTGGGAGTGAAACATTTGGTACTGAAAGTGTGAACACTTCTGCTGGGGACTGAACAGAGGGAGTATCTTCTGCTGGTGGTGTGAAATCTATCTCATCATCAAAATTATCCTCAAATTCCTAACAAAAAAAAGAGCAATGTTATAGCAAACATAGATCGGTTTGAGAGCAAATCCTAAAAAATACTGGCTAACATTTAAGGTATGAACATTTATTCACTCATTTGAAACACATGGCCATAATTTTTTTTCCCAATTCAGACTTATTTAAAGTAAAAAGTATATGTAATTGTGTTCTCCAACTCCAAACAGCAGAATAAATAAGATTTGAAGATAAATTATACATAGCTTATTTAACTTTTTTGTTGTTGTTAATCCTCACCCGAGGATATTTTTCCATTGATCGTTCAGATCGAGTAGAAGGGAGGGAGAGGGAGGGGAGAGAGAGAGAAAGACATTGATTGACTGCCTCTGGCACAACCCCAACTGCGACCAGAAATTGAACCTGCAACCCACATACGTGCCCTTGACCAGGAATTGAAACCAGACTCTTTAGTTTGTGGGCCAACGCTCTAACCGAAGAGCCACACTGGCTAGGGCTTATATAACTTTTTAAGAGAGCTTGAAGGTAAATGTACAATTTTCCAATAATGACCATGGAACTTAAAATGGAAACACTCTTCTAAGTTCAAATTTTTTTTTTTCTTTCTTCCCTTATTGATTTTTAAGAGAGGAAATGAGAGATAGAAACATCGATGAGAGACAACATTGATAGGCCACCTCCTGCGTGCCCCCCACTGGGGATTGGGCCCACAACCTGGGCATGTGTCCTGACCCGGAACCAAACTGGTGACCTCTTGGTGCATGGGTCAATGCTCAACCACTGAGCCACACGGGCCGGACCTAAGTTCAAATTTTTTACTTCTAAGTTATTATTGTCTAAGCTATTCCTTCTCATTATTATTCACTTTCATAGATCTCTTTGCATATTAAATCAAAACAAATTTATTTTAAAATTGTATATGCATTTCTGGTGCAATGTAATTCAATCAAAACAAGGAAGTTAAGCCCTGGCCGGTTTGGCTCAGCAGTTAGAGCGTCGGCCTGCAGTCCAGAGAGACCCAGGTTCAGTTCCTGCTAAGGGCACGTACCTCAGTTGCAGTTTGTCCCCGGCCCTGGTTGGTCATGCGGGTGGCAGCCACTCGATGTGTCCCTTTCATGTCGATGTTTCTCTCTCTCTGTTCCTCTCTCTCCCTCCCACTCTACCTGAACAAAAAATGGAAAAATGTCCTTGAGTAAAGATTAAAAAAAACAAGGAAGTTAAAAAAGACTCAGAAAAGGTATTTTTAAGCAAGTCTTATTTGTCTGAAAAGAGTAGAATAAAAAAATTACTATCCCAGGTAGAAAATCATCTAAGATCTGAACCACCAAGGTTATGGTATAAAACTGTATAGCACACAAGTGCAGTTAACATTTTAAGAATATCTGGTTTTCTAAACATGGCAACTTGAAAATCAAGGTTGCACCAAGTGAGCTGCAGAAACCTTTTAAGTGACTTTGTTCAGTAGAAAGCTATCCTACCTGTTCCCATCAGCGAGCTGGGTCTACTTTGGTGTCCATGTTAATACAGATACAGCTGATTATCAAGGTCATTCATTCACCAGGGCCACAACAGAAGCTGAGAACAGACCAGTGAACGAGACTGCTTTCCATTCCTCTACAGAACATACCTTCTTCTCATTTTCATTTTCTACCTCCACCACTACCACCTTAGGCTTCCATACAGGGAAGAAACTAAAAGCTGTAAGGGCATGTCTCTCTGATATAATATTTATGTTATTACATGCATGTGAGGGACATTATTTCCTATGTCACATATGTTGCCAGTGCATCAGGACATTATTGCTAATTGTAACAGGGAAGGGGGGAGCAGAAGAAGTGAGATGCCCTGACTTCTATCTGTGAGGGTACCTCCACACAGAAGAGATGTGTTCAACTTTCCCTCCAGACATTCCTAATTGTCCCATTAAAAAGACTGTATTCATCATTCCCACCTTAGAAATAATGCCACTCAAGCATGATACACCGTTAGGCGGCAGATGATTCTAAAGGTTTGGAAAAGGAATACAGTATGATTTCTTTTTTCTTTTCATCCTCACCGGAGGAAATTTTTCCATTTTTTGTTCAGATAGAGTGGGAGGGAGAGAGAGGAAGAGAGAGAGAGAGAAACATCGAGTGGCTGACACCCGCACGACCAACCGGGGCCGGGGACAAACTGCAACCAAGGTATGCGTCCTTAGAGGAAACCAAACCTGGGTCTCTGGACCGCAGGCCAATGTTCTAACCGCCGAGCCAAACCACCCAGGGCTACAGTATGATTTTTTAACGGGGGTGAGAGAAGACTGGGTCACTTAAAGTTATGCCAGTGGTCATCTGGATGCATGTGGGCAAAGCACTTACTTTACCAGACTGTTAGCTTCCTACCTGGTCCATAAGATGACTTCCAAGGGGCTATTCAAGCCTAAAACTACACAGTTCTAAATCTTAAGGAAACCCACAAATTACATACAGTGATACTCTTCTTCTGTCAGATAGCTGGTAGAGCTAGAGAGAATTCTCTATGGGTGTGGTCACTGGGAAGCCCCTGATAAAAATCCACATTCCCCAAGTCTGCATCATCAATACAAGATTCAGTGGGGTTAGAACAATAGAAGGCAAAATGAGGCATCATTCATGACATGTGAAAGAGAGATTGAATTTCAGCTTCAGCAACACTCACCAGACTTCTTCTTTGTACCCAAATGGCTAGGTGTCTGTGCAAAGTCTATCAGCAAGACTGACAGTTAAGGGATCCAGACTGTCTGCCTACCACTGTGCCCCCAGGGTGGTGCAGTCATTAAGATCCCACAGAGGTGTCTGCTGTGATTCTAGGGCCCAGGGGCTGATGTTATGAATAAGGCCTACACATTCGGGGTAAAACCTTGTAAATAACATGACCATGCTACCTGAGTCTTTCCCTCTGTTCTCAACCTTCCATGTGGATAATGCTAGCATTGAGCCAAAGGACAGCACACATCCTAACTTCTCAGAGCTGCCACCATGCTCGAGGTAAAGAGAATACACGATGAAAAAAGAGGTGAGGTCCTAGAAATAAGGTTCACATATCCACTAGAAAGAAGGTTTTAGCTAGGAAACAGCTTTCTTTTTCCCCCAAATGAACCTGTGGCCTCAGGGCCCTGGGACAGCCCCTAGTATAGTAGTAGGCCTTGACATAAAGAACCATTTTCTCCGCATGCAGTCCTTTTTATTTTACTTGAAAGAGAGAAGCATGGACCTGTTATTCCACTTATCCATGTATTCACTGTTGAGTCTTGTATGTGCCCTGACCAGGGATTGAATTGGCACATCAGGACAATACTCTAACCAACTGAGCTGACCAGCCAGGGCCTGCATTCATTTTTCCAGCAGGCATGTGGTAAATTCTAGGGCAGGATATTCTGGTACATTCCACCCATTTGTGGCTACACCAGCCCTTCTTATTATGTACAACCCCCCTCATCCCACCAGTATCTACAATTGACAGCATTCTTCTTTCTCCCTCTTAGGGTTCAAGGTAAACTGAAAGATGCTCTCCTCATATACAAAACATACTGGGTGATCCCTTGACCTCAATAATCTTAACAACCACAGACTTGCCAGCATATAAAAGTTTGAAAAAAAAAAAACCAAAACCAGCCTGCTTTTCCTTATAGGCCTTATAGCAAGTGAATACAGTCATCATGCTTTATCCCCCCCTTTCAAAACTTAAAATTATCAATTGCCAATAATGCTCTAAGGCACAGCGAGCAAACTGCAGCTAATGGGCCAAATCCAAACCATCCATTTGTGTAAATAAAGTTTTATTGGCACACAGCCACAACCACTTGTTTCTGGGTTGTCAATGGCTGATGTAGTGCTATGATGGCAGAATTGAGAGTTGAGGAGCTGTGACAAGACTCTGCATGGCCCATGGTATTTACTATTTACAATGGCAGAATGTATTCACTATCTGTCTCTTACAGAAGTCTGCCAACCCCTGCTCCCAAGGGACTGTGATATTTAACCATCCTATTGATAAATGTATCAGAGGATGATTTTATATGTTCCTACCATCTGTGCTCACCTTAAAGTCTATTTCTGGATCTTTACAGCAGGATACACAATTTGCAATCAACACGATTAATATAATGAAACTGCACACAGAGAGGATCACAAAAGATGAGGAAACTTCTGCAGCAGGTGACTCCCCTGGAAAGAGAAATAAGTAATATTAACATCATGGACATTCTAAATTCAACTTTAATAAACAAATCAAGCCCAGCTGGTGTGGCTCAGTGGTTGAGCATCAACCCATGCACCAAGAGGTCACTGGTTCGATTCCCGGTCAGGACACATGCCTAGCTTGTGGGTCTAATCCCCAGTTGGGGGCATGCAGGAGGCGGCCAATCGATGTTCCTTTTCATCAATGTTTCTATCTCTCTCTCTTCCTTTCTCTCTAAAATCAATAAAGACCTATTATTAAAAAATAATAATAAATAAAAATAAATAAATGAATCAATGTATGTTCCACCAAATGTAAATGGGACCAAGAGTTAATAAAATAATGCTTAAATGCTCAAGATAAAGCTGATAACCAATCCAGAATAAAAAGTTTGGGTTTTTATTTACTTATTTGTTTTATTATTTTTTTAAATATGTTTTTATTGATTTTTTGAGAGAGAGAGAGAAACATGGATCGGCTGCCTCCCGCATGCCCCCTACTGGGGATCTAGCATACAACCTGGGCACGTACCCTGATGGGTAATTGAACCAGGATCTCTCAGTCCATGGGAGGACACTCAATCCACTGAGCCACACCAGCCCGGCAGAAAGTTAGAGTTTTTAAAAATCTTATTTTGAAACAATCTTAGATTTACAGAAGAGTTCCAGAGACAATTCAAAGTCCCCATTACCCTTAACCCCACTTCCACTAACAATAGCATCTTATGTTTCCATGGTACATTTATCAGAGCTAAGACAGTAATGTTGGAACATGACCACTAATTGAACTTTAGACTTTATTTGAATTATACCAGTTTTCCCATTAGTATCCTTCTGTTTTCCAGATTCAATCCAGGCTACCAACACTGCACTTAATCCTCATGTCCCCTTGGTCTTCTCCAATCCCTGATGTTTCAGTCTCTCTTTGTGTTTCATAACTTTGACACTTCTGGAGAGTACTGGTCAGTTATTTTGTAGAATGTTCTTCAGTTTGGGTTGTCTCATGATTGGACTGAGGTTGTAGATATGCCAAAAGAATCTAGAATAGCACAGGGTGAACGGCCCTCCTCATCACATCGCATCAAGGGCACATGATGTCGGCACGACTTATTCCTGGGCCTGTGGACCTTGATCACTTGGCCAGGTGGTTTCTGCTGGGCCTCACCACTGTGAAGTACTTTTCCCTTTTCATCTATTCCTTAAAAGTGGGTCCCAAAGTCTAGTACACACTGGTAGGGAAGGGAAAGTAAGCTGTACTTCCTGGAGGGAGGAACATTGCAAACTTTGTAGACATATGTTCAAACTACCACAGTAGTTGTATTTGGCAGAGACACTTTGAGATTATGCAAATATCCTGTGTCTCCCTCAAGTTCTGCACATTAATTTCCCCATTTGTCACTGCATCTTGCCTGCAGCCATTAATACCATGATGCTCTAATGGTGATTTTCTATTTCCCTCAATCCTTCAACACTTATTATTTGTAAATCTTCTGTAAGGAAGATTTTCCCCTCCTTACTCACTTATACAGTTACGGACTCACAGGTATTTGTTTTATATTCTGGGGTTATAATCCAGTGTTATCATTATTTTCTTGCCCCAGCTGTTCCAGCTTTGGCCCTGGGAGCTCGTTCTAGTTGACTGTGGGCCTTTTGGACACGTTCCATCCTTTCCTTTCTCCCACACTTCCTCACTTGCTGGCACTACAGTTAGCTCCAGGCTCCTCCGTATCTTCCCTACGCCAGCTGTAGAATCACCCACTTCTCCGAGGAGCCTTGGTCATCATAACCAGGAGCTTTTCCACCGGAGCAGGAGCTGCACACCCTGCCCGTGGCCCCTTTTTGCATGGCAGTGGTGGGGGCAGGTACTTTTTCAAAATAAAGCAAAACAAGATGCAACAGAAATTACATGTGAGCCACAAAGCCTGAAATATTATACTATCTGACCCTTTATAGAAAGAGTGTGCAATCCCTGTTTAGTGCATAAAGATTTTTTTTTTATTCCTCACTCAAGGATATTTTTCTATTTATCATTAGATGGAGTGGGAGGGAGGGAGAGAAAGAGAGAGAGAGAGAAATATCAGTGTGATAGAGACGCATCGACTGGTTTCCTGCACGACCCAACCAGGGCCAGGGACGAACTGCAACTGAGGTATGTGCCCTTGATCAGAACCGAACCCTCAACTCAATGGTCCGTGGGCCAACGTTCTAACCACTGAGCAAAACCAGCCAGGGCTAGTGCATAAAGATTTTTACATCTCACTTTCATCAAAGAGTTATCTGGAAAACATTTAATCAACTAGGGCTATTTTGAGCATTTTCTTTGAAAGAACAAACGGTTAAGTCTCACCTACTGGTGTTTTAATAAGAAATAAATATTTCCCCCCAGCTTTATCGAGCTATAACTGACACATAACATGATTTCAGTTGAAGGCGTCCAATGTGATTTGATATATGTATATATTGTAAAATGATTACCACAATAAGGTCAGAAATAAACTTTTCCTGCCCTGGCCGGTTTGGCTCAACAGTTAGAGCGTCGGCCTGCAGTCCAGAGAGACCCAGGTTCGGTTCCCGCTAAGGCATGTACCTTGGTTACAGTTTGTCCCCGGCCCTGGTTGGTCGTGAGGGTAGCAGCCACTCGATGTGTCTGTCCCTTTCACGTCGATGTTTCTCTCTCTCTCTCTTCCTCTCTCTCCCTCCCACTCTATCTGAACAAAAAATGGAAAAATGTCCTCGGGTGAGGATAAAAAAAAAGAAAAAAGAAATAAACTTTTCCTGAAAATCCTCATCTACAGCTAGTTATGTGTTCAAATATACCAAGGGGAAGGCATGGAGACAAGTTAATGAATGATGCCACCATTTTTCTTCAGTGACACTGTAGTACCTGAAGAAAAGAAAACCAAATCTAAACTCCTATACGAGTAAAACACATTCTTGAATATACATGCAGAGAGGTCTAAAATCAGCAGCAAACAGGACGAAGTCCCTTCTCAATAACAAAAGGTCTGTGAAAGCAATGCTGAAACCACACAGTTACAAGTGGGGCTCAGACTCTGTGCTCACAAATACTATAACCGAGGGTTTAACCGAGGGTTGTTAAGAATCTTCAAGTTCTAAACCAACAATATCTAAAACAGAAAAATCCATACATTGAACCCAAAGTGACTTGGTGACTCCTCTCGGAAAAAAATGGGAGAGAACATTGCTGACTCCTCTCAAAAGCCAATCTGGAGGGACGTGAACTTGCAGAGAGAAAGAATTCCTTAGCTGTAGACACTGTGCACATTTCTAAACTAAACTAAGTGAGGTGTGAGAGCCAACTTTCTATGAATTGAAGAAGACCCACAAAGATCCCTTTTTTCTCTTTTTCCTTTCAGCTGCCTGCCCTTTCATTCAGCTGGGTTTGTGTGTCCCCACTAGTATTTATTCTTATAACTTGTTTTCCTCCTGATTCATACAATAAATATATATGACTCCTGAGGCTTGTAGCAAAGTACTTGCATATCCACTGTCCTTTATTTCATTTTAAAATGCAGTCTGTCCATCGCATTTTAACATCCCTGAATTTCAGATGCATATTACACTCAAAAGTTGGTTTTTATTGGCAGAGTTTCTTCTTTTTAATGGCACAGAAATAAGGGTGTGTCATAATCAATTGTATCTGAGATTTGACAAAATACAGTATGATTTCATTTGATCGTTACAGCACCTCTGAGGATCGACCAGCTCCATGGCACGGGTGAGACACTGGCTGATATGCCCAAGGAGAGAAAGTGGCAGGGCTCCAGGTTCAGGGGCACTGAGTATAAATCTCCATTCTTCCCAGGATCCCACATTGTTTTGCTTTAATGAGGTTAACTTTTAACACTTGAAAAAAGCCTAAACTAAGTACTTTGAACCAAAATCTATCACTGTTAATTAAGACAGTTCACATTTCTGAGGCTCTCCTCCAAACTCCACACAGCAAATATTACATCATTTTTTCCTCTCTTTTCATCCATAATTTTTTATCATCACACACTATGTACTTATTGTAAAGGCAGCTCAAGGATCTGATTCATGAAACCGTCTTCTGTGCATCACAGGCAAGCATGAGAAGTCCTACGGTGTGAAAAGTAACAAGTGGCGCCGAGTTCTGCCCTACCTTTTACTCTCTGCTCTATCTACGTGTGTCTCGGTGAGGACACTACAGCGGCGTCTGCTCCCTACACTCAGATTTCCTCAATGTACACCTCAATGTATACTCAACGTCAGTGTCTACCAGTCCCATTGAAAGGACTCTACAAATTACTGTCTGAAAAGAAACTTACTAGGTAGCCTTAAGCAGAAATTTTTAGTTTTACCACTTTTAAAAACTGTTTTATTTAGTTTGATCAGTCCAAAGCACTGTGCTTTTAAAAAAAACAACTATATATACCAATGAAGAAAATATGTCCATAAAATGAGAACTAGAAGCAACCTACTCAGGCTGGAAGGTGAGATGGGTGTGCATAACCACAGAGCGGAAGTCGACTCCAGCCCTGAGGAACTAGAGCTAGAGGCCCATGTCCCAGTGGTCAAACTGCAAACCGAGCCCTGGGAGGGAGGTGCCTGATCACAACTGTTAGGAAACCATGAAGCCAGATAGTTTTCCTTTAACATCCTCCATCTACAGCATTCAGAAATGCATAAATCAAATCAGCCATCTACTAAAGAAAAACATCAATAACAACAAGAGTGTCTCCAGACGTTTCGGCAGCTCTACCCATTGCAAACTGGGAACAAGGGTAACTAGAGGTCTGGGGTGCTTAGCATGCTTCCCCTAGACACCAAGTAAAACATCCATGGCATCTCTAACACACAATCTTGAGTTGTCATTTTATACTTTCAAACCATTTTAATAGCTATCTAGCACTTAATTTAACATACAGAAACTCTGAGAGGTACGTACCTATTATCTGTTTTATAGACAGTTAATTAGGAGCCTGTGATTTCTCAGAAATGACTCAGAGTAAGTCAGGAGTACTACCTGATTATTAATTCAACTATTATAAATCCCTGTCCAGAGCTTCGATTAGAACTTGAACATACATGTAATTAACTAAAGAGTTACCTATGAATCCATTTCAGGAGTAAATAAAAAATTTTAAAGACCCACATACAAAAAGAAATGATAATCAATGTTCGATCCATTAGAGATTGCAAAATGCTGATATTCTAATTTTGTCATTTCTTCTTCAGTTACAGGCTGATATACTTTATAAAGAGAAATTTCTTCATATTTACTATTTCCCTACCCAGGAGTTCAAGTCATAAGGGGTGTGGCTGAAAGTGCAAACCTTCTAATCACATGGTTGGTTCCTCTGCCCACCAGCACCATCCTGAAGCTATTTGGGGCCCACCTGGAGTCGCTTTATTAGCATCAATTCAGGTAAGGTTGATAGAGGCCTGTTATTAATAACAAAAGATGCTCCCATCACCCCTATCACTCAGGAAATTCCTTGGGTGTTAGGAGTTCTGTGCCAGGAAAGGGGGACAAAGATGGAACATGTGTTTCTTATTACATCACAGGTATTTACATTCTCCCTACCAGGAAACTTTCCCACTGACACACCCCTCCACTAATTCGTGCTCACCATTCAGATCTCAGCTTTGCAACTGGTCCCACAGTTTTGAGTCCTTGACTTTGGACCCCCAATGCACCCTGAATTTCCCCTTCTTAGAGTTCATCACACTAGTATTCTAAACATCGGTAAGTCTTCCCCACTAGACTGTAAGCTAAACAGGGTTAGGGACCAGGCCTGTATACTCCACCAGTAACTCCCAGTGCCCAGCACAGAGCCTGGCATTCAGTCAGAGTAATGGAAGGGAGGGAGAAAACAGTGAGAGACACCACTAAGGAGCTCCAGCAAGGGAGGGAAGATAAGCAAGGTGGGAGGGGAGAAAGAAATTCATGAGTAATCTCCTGATTAACTGAATGAACTTATGTTTAAAGGGGCTAACAACATTATAAAAGTAGCAGTCCTTTGATAATTTTATGCCTTATTTGGCAAAGTTTTCCTCCCATTACTAATCACACCCTAATGCATACTGTATTGGGTGGTTCTGTCCCTTCCCACTATTAATAGTTTATCACTTATTCCCCCGGTCTCAGAGAACTTCCACAAATACTCTTAATTTACTCATTTTGCAATTCAATGTTTAGCAGTATAAATATTAAGTTTTCTTTAAAAAATAAGTTTTCTTAAAAAGTGGATTTCCCCCAACTTATGTTCTCCTGTGATAACAAGTATTTACTCACACACTCTGTTCTCCATGGCGTCTCACTTCAACGGAAAGATGTAGGCGTGGACGTACTCTCTGCTGGCAAAGCAGAGATCCAAAGACACCCTTTCCTCCGTGGGAGCCCCAGGACACGCTGGACTGTGGAGACGGGGCTCCACTGTCCCTGGGCCACCACTCCTTTTTTTTTGGTAAAAAAAAAAAAAAGGGATCTTAGCAGGTCCTTTCTAAGATGTGACTCTAGACTTGTAGTCTGAACACTGTGTATTAGTCTGCTTGGGCTGCCATACGAAACACCACATATTGGGTGGCATAAACAACAGAAATCTATTTTCTCGCAGTCCTGGAGGCTGGAAAGTCCAAGATCAAGGTGTTTAATAGTCACCTTCTGAGGTGGGGGGAGGGGTGCCGCAGGGGGACTTGAGTCAGCCCATAACACTGTAGAGTTATTAATTCAGGAGCACCCTCCCCACGGGCAGGGAGTCCTTCCTTGGGGGCACCAGGACAGCACATGCTGCCTTCCCCTACCTGCTCAGGGCACAGTGGTTTGGGAATGGGAAAGAACTGTACGACTGTCAAAGCAAGTATCAGATACCAATGTCAGTCTTCTGTCTTCTCTGTTCTCTCGCCTCTTGCCTCGGGAAATTCACATGAGACATTTATGTGTCTAGCCGACAATGAAAACTGGTAGCCACTGGCTCACTAGACCATGGCAACTCAGTAGAACTCAGGGAAGCTAAGGACCAGCAATCTTCCAAATTGGTCTTGACATCAAATCCACCTCTGAAATACATTGCTTTGGTTTTTTGTGTTTTTTTAAACAGTAGAAGCACTAAGTCCATTGCCCTTTTCCAATATCCTGACAAATAGCTTCACATCCCAGAGACCTAGTAAAATGAATCATCACCATACTACTTGCCAACAGACACTAGACAATCATTACATACATTTCAATTTAACCCCTCAAAATTAAAAACCCACCTATCACAAAGGTTTCGCACACAAAGAATCTTAAGTCACTAAAGGCTTCCCTGCCTCTTAATGTCACAATACACCTACATGAACTAGTCTCGCATTAGAAAGGGAGAAGGAAGCCCAGCACTAAGGACACCCAACCACACGGGACAGTGAACAGTGCACTGATGGCCCGGGTGGGTCAGAGGCCCACAAAGACCACTGAGCCAGAGGGTCTCAGCCTAGGACAAGCCTCACTGTGTGCAATCAGTGCTCTTCAGAAATGATTCTCAAGGTCAGCCAACCCAACTTGCAGAAAGGGTATATAATTTGAGTGCTGACTGAATACCTGTGGACGAGATCATTTTAGGTGAAGTTACTGTTTCACTCAGCCTATTCCACTAAAATCTTTATCAAAAGTTCTTTTCATTCCAATTTTTAAAGACGCTAACTAAGATGAAAGCTACCAGAGAAAGCCTCATCTAAGGAGGCACAGTTTGGCCAAAGGAGTGTCAGGCTTAGATGACTTCTGTCAGACTATTGCTCCCCACACCCTGGGAAGACGACAGCAGGGGTAGAACTGTATGAACCGGACTCCTGGTTAAGCTGAAGGCATGGTCAAGCTGAGGAGTGATGCCCTGTGCTCAGATGTTTGTGGCAACTTTGAATCAGACCTTCCTGCAGTCCAGGAAGACAGGTCAGGAACACACAGCAGCTGGTCCCAGAAGTAGAAGCTGGGGATGTTTCCCAGGGCTCCGCCCTCCACACTGGCCGCTTCAGTGTACTGGCCGCTTCAGTGTACCGGTACTCTCGGGGAAAGGACATTCTGTCTCTCCTCACTACTTCCCATGGAAATCTGTACAAATGTGCAGGCAAATCAACGGCAGAACTGGGGTCACAACACAACTTCAGCCAATACCATTTCCACCCAATTGAGCCAAAGTCTAGAAAAAAAAAAACCTAAATGCATTTGCCTTACTTCCAGGTAGGGCAGACCCTAAAAATCCCAGAAAAACACATTTACCTTTTTTTTTTTTTTTAAATTTTCCTACAACACCTTGCAGTAGTCTATGGTCTCAGAAGCTTTCTAGCTTCCTAAGGGCTAAGTTAAACTCTTGCTAATATAATTGCAATGTAGTCTTAGGCAACGTGTCTTTAAAAAGTTCTCTCTTCAGCCCTGGGTGATTTGGCTCAGTGGTTAGTGTCAGCCCACGGACCAAAGAGTCGCAGGTTTGATTCCAGTCAAGGGCCCGTACCTCAGTTGCAGTTCGGTCCCCAGCCCTGGTCGGGGTCATGAGGGAGGCAACCAATCGATGTGTCTCTTTTTCACATCGATGTTTCTCTCACTCTCTCTCACTCTCTCATCCCCCCTCCCCCACTCTATCTTAAGATAAATGGAAAACTATACTCGGGTGAGGATTAAAAAACAAACAACAAAATACACAGCTAATGACTGAATGGTGCTTACTATGTGCCAGGCACTACTCTACACTCACTCAATCCTGCAACAGCCCTCTAGGTAGGTCTTATTATCAGCCTCATTTAAAAATGAAGAAACTGAGCAATGGAGAGGTGACAGTGCTTTTCCAAGGTCACATAACTCCTACGTGATGCTTAGGGTATGCGCTCCTACACCCCTTGACAGCAGAGGGGTGAGAGAGACTGTGCCCAGGACCTGGGCAGATGTGACATGGAGTGCGGGGTAAAAGGACAACTCCCATCAGTGTTCCTCACTCTTAACATGAACAGATTTTCAAGGACCGTCTGACATTTGGGAAAAAACTCCTTAAAAAGGTTAAAAGACAGTGACCAACCCAGACAGACAAAAAGGTACTTGAAGGAGGCAGACAGTATAGATGTTTACAAATAACTAAAACAAACCAACTATATTCAATATCCTCAGAAGTAAGAGGAGATATTACATTCATGAGAAGATGCTATTTTAAAAGTGTGTAGGTGTTGGGGGGTGAGAAACTCCTGGAAATAAAATGTAATGGAAAGAATAAAGGTACTCTCCCATAGTAGGACGACAAGACAAAGATGAACAAAAGGAGAGAAGCAGCTCATTCCAAGAAATCCAACATTCAACAGACATTCTTCAAAGAAATAAATGTTTACAAGTGTACAAGTTTGTCACTACATTTTTTAAAAATCAGAAATAAGTCTTATCATCTTTAATTAAGTAGTACAACTTCAGCCCTGGCTGGTTTGCCTCAGTGGTTGGAGCATCGCCCGTGGACTAAAGAGCCTCAGGTTCATTTCTGATCAAGGGCACATGCCTTGGTTGCAGTTCAGTACCCTCCCCCATTCCCCTGGCTGGGGTTGTGCGGGAGGCAGCCAATCTATGTGTCTCTCTCACGTCTATGTTTCTCTCTCTCTCTATCTCCCTCACACTCTATTAAAGGTAAATAGAAAAATATCCTCGGGTAATAATTTTTTAAAAAAAAGTTGTCCCTGGCCGGTTTTGCTCAGTGGTTAGAGTGTCAGCCCACAACTGAAGAGTCTCAGGTTCGATTTCCGGACAAGGGCACGTATCTGGGTTGCAGGTTCGATCCCTGGCCCCTGTCAAGAAGGCAACCAATCAATGTGTCTCTCTCACATTGATGTTTTTATTTCTCTTTCTCTCTCTTTCTTCCCTCTCCCTCCCTTCCACTCTATCTAAAAATCAATGAAAAAATATCCGCAGGTGAAGAGTAACAAACAAAAAAATTAAAAGAAGTTAAAAACTAATGTGACTGTTTTGAGCCTAATCATGGAAGCTAGCACTTTAGTTTCTTAATTTATACTAAGGATTTACCGTTAATACTTCAAGAATCGACTACATGACAACTGTGTTTAAATTTCATCTCAGTATTTTCAGTTGACAGAAATAAATATCCAGAGGAGAAATGACTGAAATTAGTCTGTGTGTGCATCACACTAATAAAAGTATTCTCGACAGTGCAAAGCAGTGAACATGGTGAACAGGATGAACTGGACGGTAGGACCCCTCATCCTACAATTAGACCACCAATGACCAGCAGTATGAGACTGACTGTGCTACTTAACTTCTCTGGCCCTCAGGTCCTGTACTTATAAACTGGCATGTTAGCTCTAAAGCTCTTATAAGGACATATAATTCCAAAATTGTATGATTCTACCAAGAGCCTATATATGGTTAATATTGGTAATCAGATCTTCTGTTAAAAGCTAATTTTTTCATAAAGATAAAGTTAAATTACAGATTTCTGGGCTGCACCCCACATCAGGACTCTGGCAGAATGTTCCCAGGGTATTTTTCAGTGTCTCATTAGCAATCAGGGTGCGGGTGCTGCTGCATTTTAATAACAGCCTCAAGTCAGAGTCAAGTGGGGCTCTGCTCTGTAACTGCAGGCTGGATCCTGAGAAAGTAACAGTTGCTCCTGATATAAAGAACCATTCTAGAGAGGGATGCTGCCAGGGAGAACCAGGAAGAGGATTTTTTTTTCCTTCTGAAAGGAACGCAGGTTGAATTTATTGAGGGTTTGGAGGAAGAATTTGCAATGTGAAAAAGACATAAAACTTAAATTTAGAGGCTTATCTGAGAGATAACCAACAGGTCATAACACCTATTTTGCAATAAAAAGCTGAAACTGCAAAATTTCACAATTACCGTTGGTTAAGACAGATATTTTAAATGTGCAAAATGACTGCAAACTCATCCTCCTCTATCTTCTAAATCCAAGGTATCTTAGAGATTAACTTCCTATAATTAAAGGTTGCAGTTATGTCATATCATACTCAAGTCTTCTGTTCACTACAGCAAAAGGACATCAGATGTACTCAGGATGGACTAGGAACATGGAGAACAAAGGCAGGGAAAAAAAGAGCTTTTAAAAATAAGATGCTAGCCCTGGCCGGTTTGGCTCAGTGGTTAGAGCGTCGGCCTGCAGTCCTGAGAGACCCAGGTTCGGTTTCCGCTAAGGGCATGTACCTCGGCTGCAGTTTGTCCCCGGCCCTGGTTGGGTCGTGTGGGTGGCAACCACTCGACGTGTCCCTTTCATGTCGATGTTTCTTTCTCTCTCTCTCTCCCTCCCACTCTATCTGAACAAAAAATGGAAAAAATGTCCTCGGGTGAGGTTAAAAAATAAAAATAAAAATTAGATGCTAGCGGTTTCACTTTGGGATGAGAGCAACTTCTCTCTTAAAGTTCACTATCATAGCCCTGGCCGGTTTGGCTCAGCAGTTGGAGCGTCGGCCTGTGGTAC